ATGATTCGGTTCTTCGGAGATAGACATTGGAGCCAAATCTGTGGGGGAAAAGAACATTTGGGACTTGTTAGACCATAGTGCTCCCTTTCTAATTTTATGGAAGATCTCACAGGCCACATGAGGAAAAATATTAACTTTTGGTCATCATTTTTCCATGTTTTTAACTGGAAACAGGTTGGGGTGTTCACGATCTGTCTGTGTTTGTTTGTCTTGTCTTTTTCTTGTCTTTGGCATGTCCTGTTTTATTTGAAAGTGTTCACCCCCTGTCTTGCCCCGTGGCTTTTCTGTCTTTCCCTTCCTTCTGAATTACCGATTGTGTTCAACCTGGGTGCCCCCTGTGGTTTTTCTCTCCCCTCCTCCACCTGTCTCTTGTTTTGTTTGATTTTAGTCTTGTTCATTTAGGTTCTGTGTTTCTGTTAGTCTTTGTAAGTTCCTGGTTTTGTTAGGGTTTGACTGTGTTCACAAGGTAGTTGGTCTGTTTGTTCTAGTTTAGCCTTGAAGAAAGTTATTGTCTGTTTGAATCTGGCATTTTGGGGTCCTGCCTGCTTCCACTCACCCCTGACAGGGGGAGAAAGTTTTGGAAATGGGGAAAATTCTCTTTTTTTCCAAAATATTTGTAGGTGTTTTAATAGTTACTTTCTGCCAAAAGAGGCTGAAAGCGGCACCATTACCCGAGACTAAAAAGCATTTCATTTCTTCTTCATGTGTTTGAACATGTTTCCCATTTATTGGGTTACCACGTTGTGGGACAGTTGCAGAATTTTGATCTAAGTGTTTCTTATAAGAACTGTAGGTATGGGAAAAGGTTAAAGGCATTGTTGGGTTTTATATGAAATGAAATGAAAAACTTATGAACATGTGTATTATCCTCGCAAACTACAGTGTTAATGTCCACTTTTGTGGGTATGTTTTTAGAGGTGTTGGTTATGCAAGCCTCATTCTGCCATATTTCACCTGTTCGAGGCGCGCCCAGAGGCTTAGAAACATCAAGATGGATGGGGGGAATCAACTCAGTGAACAACAGATACCAAGGATGCTGGCTGATGAAGAAGATGAAGTAAGCTAGGTAGCCAATATAAGACTTAGCAGTACATATACATGTGGGCTTACTATTTGGCAAGAAGACTAAGCCTTATATTAGCTACCTAGCTTACTTTGTCCTCTTCATCAGCCAGCATCCTTGGTATCTGTTGCTCACTGAGTTGATTCTCGCTAAGTAGCCAATACAAGGCTTAGTCATCTTGCCAAATAGTGAACCTGTGTTGATGAATGAAAACTATGTTAGAACTGGTTTATAAATGGTTCTTAATGATTCATAAAGTGTTTACAACCTAATTTGTAAAGTGGTACACGTTATTGTTACATAAACTTGCTAACACAATATGTGTACTTCATGAAATAAAACTCAACTGTAGTAGCATAAACTTGAACTTTCCACTAATCAAAATCATCCTGGAAATTGTCTTTTTTCCAGGCAAAACATTGTTATTTTACAAGTAACATTTAAAAGATTATCCTGGCATTTGTTTTGTCACTTAATCTAAAACACAGAAAATAAAATCATTTAAAATCAGGATTAGAAAATGTTTGTTACAATAATATTTTTTTCTCATTTGCTTCTCAGGACTTCCGTACGAAATGAATGTTTCTCTAATTCTGCTTTTGGACTACAATGACTGAAGTATTTCGAAAATAGAGATTTACTTTTAAATTCCTTTTACAATAATCTCCTAATTCTTCCTAATCCTCTGCTTTCAAACAAACAGTAATACTCAATGGTTGATTCTTGCTGTAAAGCAGAACGCCTTCAGATACTGACATGTGGTTGATGGTGCTGGTGACAGACACAGCGGATCCATCCTCCGCCAGCACCGACACATGGGTGGTGCCCACGCTGTCCAGATACGGGGTAATGTTGTAATACTGGGCATCATGAGTCCCCTCGCTGCTGATCAGGCTCCGTATGTGCTTGGCGAAGCTGTCCTCTGTGAATTTCTTGGCCATCTGTAAAAAAGTAGAGAGCATTCAAAACCTTGTACATGACAAAACACTAATTACAGAGCTATGGTTTTGATTGTATTTCAGGCTTCTATCTTCTTTGCAAGGAAAACAAGAAGTGTAATAGGAACTAAGTTTCTAAATGAATTGGACCCTGTTTTTAACCATGCCTCTGAAACTCTTTTTTTGTATCAAACATTTTACCTTTTCTTTAGAATAAGTATGCCTATATTAAAATGAAGAAATGTTGATGTCAATAGTTGCAGTTTTATGGTGGGGTACACACATGTAGACTTTAGCTTAGCCTACAATTAAGTCTTTAAATGTGCCCGTTATTTCAAGTCGCTACAGAAGGATAGACCAACTAACCAGAGATAGTTTGGATGTTTTTGGTTTAACCTCAAGCAACTTTTTTATTTTTCTGACCAAGCAGGGGTCAAAACTTGTCCCAAAACCTCTCCTGACTTTAACAGTCAAACTGCACTACATTTCAGACTTTTTACTCCACTACATATATTACATTACATTACATGTTAGACGCTTTTATCTAAAGCAACTTACATACTCAATACTGTGGACAATCCCCACAGGAGCAATTTGGGGTGAAGTGTCTTGCCCAGGGACACAACGACATGCTGACTGCAGTGGGGTTTGAACCTGTGGTCCCCTGATCCGAACACCAACGCACTAGTCCACTGCGCTACACGCCTATATATATATATATATCTGACACCTGTACAGTTTTTTACTACATAGACATAGAATCGACAAATAAAATGTCATGCTTTAGTTATAAATAAAACCCTTTAACAGTTCATAAATAACTTAAAACCATCTCCACCAGCTATTCTATAAAACAATAACATTTGTATTTGAAGAACATTTACCAAACAATGCTTCTGAACTTTTACTAAAGCAAACAATCTAAATACTCTTTCCACCTCTGGGGATAAACCATGAGAGAGTTCACTTTTTCTTTTAAATAACTTACTTCTTCTGAGCTGAAGCCTGGATCACGGATGTGTTTCTTTAATCCATTGGCAAACTTAAAAGCTTCGATAATGCGATGATACGCCAGTGTCTTTTCTTCCTTTTTTTTCAGAGTTGCCGGACTCAAGTTGTATTCTATAAATAAAATACATTATTTAGGTTTCCCCACACATAAAGTCCGGTATCTAGATGTTTTGGCATTAAACAATCTCATTCCTGCAATCATGTAGGTTAGACATGCAACAACCAATCAAGGCATTCATTTCTCTTCTCAGCTCATGAACTGAGTTTGTATGTGATTTCAAAGTGGGGATGCATAGCAAGTCTGCAATGTGTGTGCAGGAGGAACCTTTCATGATGTTCAGGATGAGGCTGAGCATAATGCCTCCTGCAGGGGGCGGGGGGAAGTACATCTGGTACTCTCCCAGAGTAATCGCCCACGCATCAGTCACTGTAGCTCTATACGACGCCAAGTCCTGCACCGTGACTGTTCCTCCTGAGCAAAACACACAAAGAAATGGTGGTAGTCAGCAGAACTGACTGAAAATGCATCCTAGCTCCACATAATTAAGAATTGTAATGGATACAGCGACTAAAACTGGAGATTATGAGGGGTCTCGGCAGTGGTTAACAGTCCCACTAATTTGTAAATGGATCACTGCGAGGGAAAATTGTGGGAAAATGATGATGAAATCTGTTTGACAATACCTGCCTCCTGTATGTCACGGATTAAATCCTCTGCTATTTTTCCGTTGTAGAAGGCGTCTGCTCCCTGGTTTGCAATCATCTCTAAAGTGTCGGCCAGTTTCTCACGCTTAATCATATCACCAGCCTTCAGCAATTGTCCGTCCTTATCTGAGAACAACTTTCTGGCAAATACCATGAGAGAATGCATACATTTAAATACAAATGTTTTTGCAAATCATATTTGTGGGTCATTTTTCAGGGGGTGTTTTTGTACCTTAGTGGCTCTGTCAAGTTGGTATCGGCGTAGGGGATGTATCGAGCTTGGATCGCAGGAATAGGAAAACCTTCTCTGGCCAGTTTGATGGTTGGCTGGAAGAGAGAGGCCCATGGCAACTTCCCATAAAGCTTGTGTGCCTGCTCATATCCCCGAATTTCCCCTGGGACTCCGATCCATGCGCTGCCTGTGTGGATGGAAAGATGGATAGACTGATTTATTCACGTTCTGAATTTTTTTTTATTGAATGCATTTCCCTTTTCCTCATTGATTTTAGCCGAGTTGATTGGCGGGCTAGTCAGATCACCTAAGGGTGTGGAGACCGGCTCTTCATTAACATTTGAGTACAATTTGTGCATTTACTCTCTCGTCCAGTCAGAGTGTGGGAACGCCCTTTCTCCAGGGCAAGCCCCAAGGTCCCCAACCTTTTATTGGTCAATAAAGTTGATTCTTATATATACTGAACTCAAGAATCTGATAACTTGTTCCTCCTCTTATAGGAATGGAACAAAAGCAATCAAATATTCATTTTAAATTACTAACAGAAATGTATTTGTGGACTCTTCCATAGTTTTATCTTTTGACATTTTACATTAATTTTTTTTGCTTTGCTCTTCCCATTTGATTCGACTGAACACATTTTTTCTTTTTCTGTAATATTGTTTTCGGTATATCAGTTACAGAAGTATTTCAGGTCTACTTAAATAGCCTCACAGGTTGCATGTCACAACAAGATTAATAGCTAGTTTGAGACTCCTGTTCCACTTTGTGTGTGGTCCTGGCTGCTCAGATCCTTTGAGGGGACTGCTGGCCCCCAGTGTGTATACAATCCCAGTATACTGTTAGGGAAGCAAGCATTACAAAGAAGAAATTACGAAGCATGTCCAAGAAAGGTCTGACAGTACTTCAGTCCTAAACTTGACACAAATATTTCACATTCAAGTCCTTATGCGGTAAATGCTTTTCTCCAGATGTGAACCATTATACGGCAGAACATTCACAGAGAATACTAATTGTTATTTGTGCTTCCTGTAGCATGATAATGCAACGCCTGGTAAACAAATACCTGGAACAACTGTCAGAGCGAGAAAAACAGGAAAGGCTCCTAATGCAAGAACCAGGGTTGCATTCCGATAATCCAAAAATCAGCTCCTAAATTCTAACCCTATCTCCTATTCCTTGACCTCTGAGTGAAACGTCACGGGGTTAAGGGATAGTGGATAGGAAAATTCAAAAGGACTTAGGAGAAGAGACTGCGGTACTTTAGAGAATCCGAATGCACTTTCACTATCCAACGTGTTTATGATGCGCCAGCGGATGTCATGAATGTGCGTCTGCTGCTGTGGGGAAACTATGGAAACTACAGTTTTCTATAGCGGACTACAACATGGATGTATAATAAGAAGGAGGGACTACTGTAAACTCATCTAGAGACTCTGCACCGTGCTCTGATGCTGTTGTTTTATGCTTTATGAACGTGGACAACAGAGAAACATATTCTTCATGACCAAAGTTGGAATTGAAATAAAAAAGGAAAGTGAAACTTATGCTCGTCACCCTCTGCCTCCGGTCCACATTAATACAAAGGATCCCAATACGTATGATTGTATGAAAAGATCTTAAAATCAATACAAATGTATTTGTATGCAGCCTTGAGAGCGAGGCGGCGCAGTTCCTCTCCACGGGCTGCAGAAGCGAAATGCTTGATTGGTGGGTTTTACCCCGTGCTGCTGATTAAACTCTCCAATTGGCTCGGCAAAACGTTTGTTGTTGTTTTGTGTCAGTTTTACGTCGCCACTTCCATTCACATTTTTCATCATTGTTCCACAAGGTAGGGTGTGTGGGTAACCCTAACCCTATTCATACCCACTGCTAATACTCTTCATACTGCTCACAGGCTGCTGTGTGTATAGTGTATTCATACACACTGTTCATACTGCTCTCAGGCTGCTGTGTGTATCTAGTGTATTCATACACACTGTTCATACTGCTCTCAGGCTGCTGTGTGTATCTNATAAATATATATATTATTGCACATATTGCACATGGTTGGTATTTAACAACAAGGAGTGTTATGATTATTATACACTGAAAAAACTGAAACATTGACTTTAGTTAAATGTATTATGTCAATAGATTTCACATAACTGTACTAGGTTGGTTGAAAGCAATACTATTAAGTTGAACCTATTTACACTTAATATAATTGATTTTAACTAACCTAATACATGAAATTAGATGACAATACATTTAATTAAAGTTAGTTAACGTTTCAGTTTTGACAGTGAATGTATCATTGCTCTCCATTTATTGAATGTGAATGCCACATTCCTATTGAGTTTATTTTATACATTTCCCTCCCTGCAGTGGATTTGACCTGAGATCCTCAGAGGACTATATTAACCAGTTTGTTTGTCGTCCTGAACCTTTTAAGACATGCCGGTTTCAAGACAATTAGGCCAATTTTCATAATCATTATTCACCGGTCCCCAGGGAGAGCTTAGATTCAGCTTCAGTGGTGATTCGTCTGGAGCCTACTAGGTAATACTTCTATTTATATAGGGTCATTAAGCTGTGAAATCCCTCTTCACTGTTAACCCTTCTCAGCTATGTTATTTCCTACTGCTAAATTAAAGCTAGGGTCCTTTTGAGTCTGAACGTCCAGACCACTTACAAGTAACATTTTGTCCTTGCTTTCAGTTTGACAGATCTGATATAGTATGTTTCTTTTTTTTCTATAATGGAGCTTAATAAACACTCTGAATAGTGCCTTTTTTCTCATTAAAGAGCTTAATTCATACATACATCTTATTACACATTAACATATTGTAGATTATAAAGATGTATTACCCATATCTTACTCATCTTTCGTTTTATTCAAGCTAACTGGAATTTATATAGAAGTCTTTCAGGAATACATTTCCATAGGAACATTAGCGGGGCCAGATATTCAGATTCATCCCTGTCCATCAATCTTCTCTCCTCTGAATAGCTGCACACAGGCCACTTTATTTGCATAAAATATGAAGACTGAGGATTTTCAGTGTTTTTTTTTTGTTTAAAGTTGGAGATACATAGTTTTAACTAAAAAACAAAGACACATATGTGTTTAACATTAAACATGCTAATTTGGTTAACAGTACCGTGAGTTTACGATGTTTCAACTTGCTGACATGACCATGGCGACCAAAGAAACCAAAACAATGAGCAGAAGTTACTGGTATTTGAGTTCCTAAAATGATACACCTCTGAAGGATTTAAGCAAAATGTATCGTCAGTCTGCAACACAGGGGTGCACAACACATTGGAATCGTAGCCCAATATGCTGCACAGGTAAACATGAAAACAGAAAGGCAGTGCATTCCTCAGTGCCATTTTAAAATCTGCCACAAGAAGAATTTTAACAATGTATTTATGTGATTTATTTGAGTATAATATTTCCACAATCTTGCATTAAAAACAATTGAAATTGGTAAAAAAAAAATCATGAATTTAGATTTCAGTCTCACTGGAGCCCCGAGCTCTGTCCTGCGGTCCGCCCTCAGATTGAAACAGCTGGATCAGGGCCGTTGTGATGTAGTCACACAGTCCTGTTCACAGCAATCCTGCTTGCTATAGCTTAAAAACAAAATGGTGCCTGTCAGCATGTCGGGGTAGAAGGTATGCTTTCTCAAGTCGGATGAATTGTGCATAACGCAACAATACATTATAGTCAGGGGTGCACATAACTTTTTTGCCCTGGTTCTCAAAGGAGCACCTGGAGATGTTGCTTGGTGCGCATCCTTAAAATGAAATAAACCGGACCTTTTGAGGGGTACTTGACTTTATGAACGGGGAGGCGCGCTCATGAACTGTTCGCCGGAGCCTCGTTGTGCGGAAAGAATAAAGCAGACCATTCGCGCGATAGCGAGGGGTAGAGCGAGGGATCGCAGATGCCGTCATGCTTGCGGACGGATTAAAAAATTAAACCTAAATTGTCACGATCTGTCTGTGTTGTGTTTTGTCCTGTCTTTTTCTGTCTTTGGTTTCCTGTTTTATTTTGTAAAGTGTTCACCCCCCGTTCCTGCCTGTTGCTTTCTGTCTGTTTTCCCTCCCTGATTGCCCGATTGTGTTCACCTGGTGCCCCTGTGTTTTCTCATCCCTCCTCACCTGTCTCTTGTTTGTTTGATTAGTCCTGTGTGCATTTAGGTTCTGTGTTTTCTGTTAGTCTTTGTGAGTTCCTGGTTGTTGTTGGACTGTATTCACTGGGAAGAGTTCTGTCTGTAAACCTTGAAATAAAGGTATTTTCTGTTAATCTGCATTTGGGTCCTGCTTGCCTCTCTCAACCCTGACATAAATAGCTCACGAATTATACTTTGGCGGCCGTTAATATACCTGGGCGGCACGCCCAAGTAAAGTCTGTGTGGGAAACCCTGCAAATATCTCTATCTCTCTCTCTCTCTCTCTCTCTCTCTCTCTCTCTCTCTCTCTCTCTCTCTCTCTCTCTCTCTGTGCAAATGCGCCTTTTTTTAAATGATCCGGTGCTCTTTTTTTGGCGGGGGGTGCGCATGCGCACCAGTTATGTGCAGCTTATAGGCCAGGCGCCGCATGAACTTTAGGAACATTTCCCTCGTCTTTAAGACAATGCACCATCATCGCCATTACAGCATTACTGGCAGAAAACACACAAATCCATCATTGACTAAGATTTGTAGGTGTTGGATGTGTTTTTGTCTTTTTAAATAATGAATGATTGTATGTTCTTGCTGAATAGCAGCAGTCTCTGTAGGAGCCACAGTTGTGACCTACTGCTGCCAATCAAACACAGAGAACGTCAGTGTGGCCACCGCTCGCTCTCTGAGAGCACCCAGAGGCAGCAGCTCTTTAAGGCTTTTAGCCTCAGTGACAAATGACATACTGTATCTAAATACTCTGAGATTTGGAAGCTAAGCTAATGGGTTTTCTTGCAGTTCAGACAACTTTGGTTTGGGTAATATTGATAATTGTACTTTTGTGTTTTGATTAGGTTTATTGTTATGGTCAGAAATGACACCATTGTAATCATTTCCAGTTCAACAGCCCCTGTGTGCCTTTTCCTTTTAAACATAGGATTTAATTTCTCCAGACTATGATTATCTTTGTGAGCTGCTGTTTATGCTTAAGCCTATTAACCAAAAACACCCTTGAATTAAAGCCCCTATGTGTAGA